TGTTCATGATTATCTGTTTCAGGTTTACTTTTAATCTCCCCAGTAAGACTTTACTTTCTTTCTTGTTTTGCTAATTTTTTTTTTTTTATAATGGGGTTTCACCATATTGGCCAGGCTGGTCTCGAACTCCTGACCTCGTGATTCATCCGCCTAGGCCTCCCAAAGTGGTGGGATTACAGGTGTGAGCCACCTTGACCTGCCACTTTCTTGTTTTGTGTTCTTTTTTCAGCAGCTTTGTTGACATATAATTTGCATACCGAACAATCTATCCATTTAAAATATACAGGTCAATAAGTATGTTCACAGATACATGCAACTATCAACTATCACCACAGCCAACTTTGTAACATTTTCATCATCAGCAAAAGAAACTCAATAGATGACACACTGAGGAATTTTAGGGGAGTGAAACTGTTTATTACGATGCTGTAATGATGGACATGTGTCATTTTACACTTAACAAAACCCATAAGATGTACAACACCAAATGAACCTTAAAGGAAACTGTGGGCTTTGGATGATAATGATGTGTCAATGGAGGTTCATCGGTTGTAACAAATGTACTACTTTGCTTTAGGATATTGATAGTGGGAGAGGCTACACATGTGTAGGATAAGAGGATATATTGAAACTCTGTATTCTCTGCTTAATTTTGCTGTGAGCCTAAAACTGCTCTCAAATAAAGTCTTAAAGAAAGAAGTCCAGGCGTTGTGGCTCACACCTATAATCCCAGCACTTTGGGATGCCAAGACCAGTGGATCACCTGAGGTCAGGAGTTCAAGACCAGCCTGGCCAACATGGCAAAACCCCATCTCTACCAAAAATACAGAAATTAACCAGGCATGGTGGTGTGCACCTGTAATCCCAGCTACTCAGGAGGCTGAGGCAGGACGATCCCTTGAACATGGGAAATAGAGATTGCAGTGAGCTGAGATCACGCCATTGCACTCCAGGCTGGGCTTCAGCATGAGACTCTTTCCAAAAAAAAAAGGAACAAAGAAAGGAAGGAGGGAGGGAGGGAACCTCATACGCTTTACCTGTACCCGTTATTTCCACATCCCACCAGGACCCAAGTAACCACTAATCTTATCACCATTAATCTTTTGTAGTTCTTTTACATTGCACAAGTGTTTGGCAAGGTGCTAGATATATTTATTAAGAGCTTAATATGTGTTAACAATTGCATCATCTAATTTAATCCTTATCATAACTGTGAGGTCTGAGTGTTTATTGTTATCTCAAAGCTGAGGATATTGAAACTTAAGATAGGTTAAATCACTTATAACCAGTAAATGGTGAAACTAGCATTGTATCCTTGGATTATCATTTTAAAACTCATGCTCTTAACCTTTGTACCATAATGTCTATTTTAGTAAGCTGAATTTTTGAAGCTATGCAATATCTATGAGAAATTTTACTAAGATATTTAAAATGTAATGGAAAGGCTTAATTTGTTGGGGCATGCTCCATGCTGGCTCCCTCACAAAATTTGCTGTATATTATTTTAATAGCTTCTTTGTGTATCTCTCCACATTTTTCTTCAAGCTCATATAAATGTACAGATACATTGTAGGGGCTTCTTGAGGGGTTATTATATAAAATGAGGATTATACTATAAATATCTAAAACAACTTATCTCACTATGGACATCTTCTATTTTTTTTCTCTCTTTTTTTTGAGACGGAGTTTCGCTCTTGTTACCCAGGCTGGAGTGCAATGGCGCGATCTCGGCTCACCGCAACCTCCGCCTCCTGGGTTCCAGCAATTCTCCTACCTCAGCCTCCTGAGTAGCTGGGATTACAGGCACGCGCCACCACGCCCAGCTAATTTTTTGTATTTTTAGTAGAGACAGGGTTTCACCATGTTGACCAGGATGGTCTCGATCTCTTGACCTCGTGATCCACCCGCCTCGGCCTCCCAAAGTGCTGGGATTACAGGCTTGAGCCACCGCGCGCGGCCTTTTTTCTCTCTTTTTAATTTTTTTTATTTATTTTTTATTGTTGGTTCATTTGTTATTTTATGGATATCTTCTGTTTCTGGACATAGACCTAGCTCTTTCTTCTGAGTAGCTGTGTACTGTGCATATCATAATGCAACAGGTACCTTATTGGTAGAGGTTGGGTTTTTTTGCTATTACATATAATATTGCAGTGAATATACGTATACCTTTATTTTTGTGCTTTTGCGTACTATATATATAGATAAGAATTGGAGGATTCCATGTATTAAAATTTTTGATAGATGCTGCTAATTATTTATTAAAAAGGTTGTACCGCTTGAACAGCAGCATGCGCAGTTAGGACCCAGATCCTGATCTGGGTACCTTTCCTCTCCTCAAGGAACTTAATAGAATGGCTGGATCTGGATATGTAGCAGATAAAGGACAAAGTCAGCCTAGGATACCTTGTGCCAAAAAAAAAAAAGAAGTCCTCAAAGATGAATGAAATCTTTGTTTTTTTTGTGTGTTTTTTGTTTTGTGTTTTTGTTTGTTTGCTTTTTACTGCTCAGAGTAAGACTGTGCCTATAGAAGGGTTTTTTGTTTTGTTTTGTTTTGTTTTGTTTTGTTTTGTTTAAGGTGGTGTCTAACTCTGTCACCCAGGCTGTAGTGCACTGGCATGATCTTGGCTCACTGCAACCTCCACTTCCCGGGTTCAAGTGATTTTCCTGCCTCAGCCTCCCGAGTAGCTAGGATTACAGGTATCCACCACCACACCCAGCTAAGTTTTGTGTTTATAATAGAAACAAGGTTTCACCATGTTGGTCAGGCTGTTCTGAAACTCCTGACCTCAAGTGATCCACCGCCATGGCCTCTCAGAGTGCTGGGATTACAGGCATAAGCCGCTTCATCTGGCCTAATTTTTATATTTTTAGTAGAGATGGGGTTTCGCCATGTTGGCCAGGCTGGTCTGGAACTCCTGACCTCAGGTTATCCACCCATCTCAGCCTCCCAAAGTGCAAGTGTTACAGGTGTGAGTCTTGTATAAAGGATACAAAGAATCAGCTAGAAGAGGCTCTAAATGACCAAATTTGGTTTGGATATCAAACAAATCACTGTAATTATACCTGAATTTTTTAAAACATAATTTCATCTCTATTGATACTAAAAGATGGTAGGGGAAAGAGTAGAGCTCTTTTAAAAAGAAGGATACAGCCGGCGCTGTGGCTCATGCCTGTAATCCCAGCACTTTGGGAGGCCGAGGCGGGTGGATCACTTGTCAGGAGTTCAAGACCAGCCTGGCCAACATGATGAAACACCCTATCTACTAAAAATACAAAAAAACGAGTTGGGCATGGTGGCAGTCGCCTGTAGTCCCAGCTACTCTGGAGGCTAAAGCAGAAGAATCGCTTGAACCCAGGAGGCAGAGGTTGCAGTGAACCGAGATCATGCCATTGCACACCAGCCTGGGCAACAATAGCGAAACTCCGTATCAAGAGAAAAAAAAATGGAGACTAGCCAGTAAGGGTAGGAGGAAAGACAATATTTAAAAAATTCACCATCTTGTAATCCTCAGTATGATATGGGAAATTGCTTTTAGCCAGGGATCATCATGGAGGCTAATATCCTGGTGAGAAGAAGCTCTTGGGCTGTTCACATGGTGTCATAGATTACTTACTTCTCAAACATAAAAGGGAAAAACATATCTTTACACAGGAGAAATCCTACAGTTACCACCTTAAGCAGATCGTCAAATCAGCAACACTAGTGTAGGAAATCATGGTGTTAATGTGTTATTTTGTTGGATGCAGTAAGAAGTACCCAATTCACTTATGAAACATTCTTTCCAAAAATAAACCCTCCTGTTTATCTGCAGGATTACTTTCTATAGTTAGAATTGAAAATGATTCTACTATATGACCTTCCTTAGGTAGGTTATGTTAGTGACTTGTCTGAGTCCCAGAGCCCTTGTTTTTAAAATAGGGACACTGAATCAGAAAAATGTATGAAAGTAACCTAGCATGTAGTTTGTTATATCGTGAGAATGTAACGTATTAGTTCAGCTCTGCTGTCAGAATCCAGTTATAGCCACCAAATATATAGCTGAATGAAAACTGTATTTCTCTTTTTCTCATCTTATTTTCTTATCTAATTCTATGTAAGGTAGTGGGAAATGAGACAAAGCTTTTCTTTTTTCGGTACTTTAAATTCTGGATTGGTCTTTTTGAATAGGCAGTTGGAGAATGTTGAAAACATGAGCAAGAATAATTTACTTCAAGTTCCAGCTGGTTCTCTTCCAAAGATAGCCCTTAGAAATAATAATGTACTTTTTTTTCTTTGTACTCTAGTTCCTAGTAGAATATGGAAGGTAAGACAGATTGAGGGATTTTGAATATATCTCGTTTTATAGAATATAAACAGTGGCCGGGTGCAGTGGCTCATGCCAGTAATCCCAGCACTTTGGCAAGTCTGGAGTTCAAGACTAGACTGACCTACATGGTGAAACCCCGTCTCTACCAAAAATACAAAACTTCGCCAGGTGTGGTGGCATGTACCTGTAGTATCAGGTAGTTAGGAGGCTGAGACAGGAGAATTGCTTAAATCTGGGAAGTGGAGGTTGCAGTGAGCCCAGATCATGCCACTGCACTCCAGTCTGGGTGACAGAGCAAGACACAGTCTCAAATAAATAAATAAACAAACAAAACAACGAAGCAGTAATTCATAGAAGACTGGAAAGGAGAGTTTCTAGCTGTCAAGGGAGGACTGAAGTTACATCATAGCAAGACTCCTCCCTGGGGTACAACCCTTATATAACAAGTCATAATTGTTATTCCCTTAAGAAAGCAACCTATTTTCCTTGAAGAAGGTATGCTGGGCAATTATGTATAGTTTTAATATTCCTAAGCCTCCTTTTTATTTCCTCAAACAAGATTAAATAAATTCATGGAAGGCCATCCCTCTCAAGGAAATGTGATCAATCCTGTATATAAATAGCTTTATTAATATCCTTAGTTGTTGGAAAGCCAAATCATTGCTGGTTTGAAAGTTATTGTTTGTCTCCTAGACAGCCGCTCAGGAAGCAATCTTGCATGCGTCTGGAAATGGCACATCCAAGGACTACTGCATGCTTTATAACCCTTATTGGACAGCTCTACCAAGTACCCTAGAAAATACAGTAAGTAAATCACAGTTACTATTCATAAACATAAAAATAGCGAAGAAGGCTGGGTACAGTGACTAATACCTGTAATCCGAGCACTTTGGGAGGTCAACATGGGAGGATTGTTTGAGACCAAGTGGTCAAGACCAACTGGGCAACGTACTGACACCCTGTCTCTATTTAAAAAAAAAAAAATTGGCCGGGCGCGGTGGCTCAAGCCTGTAATCCCAGCACTTTGGGAGGCCGAGGCGGGTGGATCACGAGGTCGAGAGATTGAGACCATCCTGGTCAACATGGTGAAACCCCGTCTCTACTAAAAATACAAAAAAATTAGCTGGGCATGGTGGCACGTGCCTGTAATCCCAGCTACTCAGGAGGCTGAGGCAGGAGAATTGCCTGAGCCCAGGAGGCGGAGGTTGCGGTGAGCCGAGGTCGCGCCATTGCACTCCAGCCTGGGTAACAAGAGCGAAACTCCGTCTCAAAAAAAAAAAAAAAAAAAAAAAATTGAAGAAGTGAGAATGAGTGATAATTGTGTTTTATTGTATGAAACCATTGTAATATACGGTTGTTAATAAATAAAATTTTATTGATTTTTCTCATGTTTTTCTCTCTGGGAAAATAGAGAATATTAAATATATAATTCTAAGCCTAGATATTTCTAATTTAAAAGATATTGTCTTAAACCAATATTGATAACTGAGTGCAATATTTATAACTGAATGCATTTAGGATGAAATATGATTTTTATCATGTTAAAAAGACATTTCTTATTTTCAGACTTCCATTAGTTTGATGAATCTGACCTCCACACCACTATGCAATCTTTCTGATATTCCTCCTGTTGGCATAAAGAACAAAGCAGTTGTGGTGCCATGGGGAAGCTGCCATTTTCTTGAAAAAGCCAGAATTGCACAGAAAGGAGGTGCTGAAGCAATGTTAGTTGTCAACAACAGTGTCCTAGTAAGTTATATAAACATTCATAACTTATTTTGAGCTCATAATATGAAATTTCACAGAAATGGAATAAACATCTTTATGTATGGTTTAGAGGCTGGATTTTGAGTAATCTGATAGCAAGATTCTTTGTAAATAATTAAGATCTCATAGGCATTCACTTGGAAAGTTTTTCAGGTTTTCTATTCCTAGAACAGGTAAGACTTTGTTAGGAGCAAATACATATATATGCATATATATAGACATATGTGTATTATACTTAAATAATAGGATATATATCATATTATAAATGCCATGTGTATAGCATTCATCAATTTAAGTTCATGTTAAAAGGATTCAATTTTGAGAACTTACAGAATATTAAGAAAGAATACCTGAAATTTTGTCTTATAACTTAAAGATATAATATTTATATTTAATGGAATAGTATTTTATTCTATAAATAGTAGTTAATAAGTTTTCATAATTTTTTTTTTTTTTTTTAGTTTCCTCCCTCAGGTAACAGATCCGAATTTCCTGATGTGAAAATACTGATTGCATTTATAAGCCAGAAAGACTTTAAAGATATGAAGCAGGTAAATTAGTAATTACATATTAGACAAAGTTTATAAATGGTATATCTCTTTATTTTTAATCGCTGCTATTTAATTTTGAGTGTTACATTTGCTGCATTTGCTAACAAGAGGGTATAAGGCCTATCAAGTTTTTCTTTGGAAAGTACTCACCTCTCATTTGGCACAAAGTGTCTCAAAGCCTGCTATACCTGAGAAAGGATGTTTGTCTTCAGTTCTTTAAAAATCTCTTGTCTCAAGAATGCACTCTAGAAAAAAAGGAAAAAAAAATGTCTTGTCATGTTATTTATTTTAACTTTAAATTCTTGAACAAAATATGATTGTGTGGAACACTGCACTTTCAAGATTTTATAAACCAGAGCATATCATACTTTTGACTAGAGAATATATTACGTCATCAGACCACAATTCTAGTCTTCTTGACTGTCTGATGTATCATATCCATTCCAGAGTAAAATGTGGACTATTGCTTTTACGACTATAGTACAGAGGAAAGTTATTCCTGTGTTTAACTGTTATTTTGCCTTTCAGACTCTAGGAAATAACGTTACTGTGAAAATGTATTCTCCATCGTGGCCTAACTTTGATTATACTATGGTGGTTATTTTTGTAATTGCTGTGTTCACTGTGGCATTAGGTGGATACTGGAGTGGACTAGTTGAATTGTAAGTTTAATTAACTTTAGCATTTTTGTAATAAATGGTTAAATTTTTTTGCAATCATTGTAATTATATAACAACATTTAAAAATATTATCTGCCCTCAGAATATGATGCCAGTAAGCCCAGTCTGCAGGTTTGTCCTCATGTAGATCACTTACATTTTCACTGGGAAGAAAAGATTCATAGATTTCTCTAACTCTTCCAATGGCAGAGGAACATTAATGTCACATCAGAGACTTTTTTTTTTTTTTCTTGAGACGGAGTTTCACTTTTGTTACCCAGGCTGGAGTGCAATGGCGCGATCTCGGCTCACCACAACCTCCGCCTCCTGGGTTCAGGCAATTCTCCTGTCTCAGCCTCCTGAGTAGCTGGGATTACAGGCATGCGCCACCATGCCCAGCTAATTTTTTGTATTTTTAGTAGAGACAGGGTTTCACCATGTTGACCAGGATGGTCTCGATCTCTTGACCTCGTGATCACCCGCCTCGGCCTCCCAAAGTGCTGGGATTACAGGCGTGAGCCACCGCGCCCGGCCAGATTAATTAAAATTTTAAAGCATGTCATATTTTAATTTAAATATAGAAATTTCATATGTACATAAAATTTGGATTTTCCTATTTAATAGTAACCTGTACTTGGTCTCCCTACAGTTTTATACCTTTGGCTCTAAATTAAAATAGGCAATATACTATAGAAGAGTCAATGTATATTCATAACTCACAATGAAAAACAAAAGGAAAAAAATGTGCCCAGAGCATATTATTTCATGTATGAAGGGCAGAATATATTTTCCTCGGGAATTGATGTATAGCTTCCATCTTAAAGGTCTTATTTGTAACCAGATGAAGCTAGGGTTATTTGTAATGTCTTAAATACTAAAATTTGACTGACTTACATCAAGAGGGAAATTTTAGAGTTTAACAAGTGTAGGTTCCTGGAGTGTTGAGCTGTGAACATTTTATGTATTTGGAAAGCATGTTTCAAATTATATCAGTCACATCTTTCATATGAGTAAGCATGTTTTTGTCCTTCATTATTAATCTTTATTCTTTTTTTTTTTTTTTTTTTTTTTTGAGATGAAGTCTCATTGTGTTGCCCAGGCTGCAGTGCAAAGGCAGGATCTCAACTCACTGCACCCTCTGCCTCCCAGGTTGAAGCAATTCTCCTGCCTCAGCCTCCCCAGTAGCTGGAATTACAGGTGTGAGTCACCAAGCCCAGCTAATTTTTTGTATTTTTTTTTTTTTTGAGACGGAGTTTCACTCTTGTTACCCAGGCTGGAGTGCAATGGCGCGATCTCGGCTCACCGCAACCTCCGCCTTCTGGGTTCAGGCAATTCTCCTGCCTCAATCTCCTGAGTAGCTGGGATTACAGGCACGCGCCACCATGCCCAGCTAATTTTTTGTATTTTTAGTAGAGACGGGGTTTCACCATATTGACCAGGATTGTCTCAATCTCTTGACCTCGTGATCCACCTGTCTCAGCCTCACAAAGTGCTGGGATTACAGGCTTGAGCCACCACGCCCGGCCTGTATTTTTTTTTTAGTAGAGATTTTTTAGTAGAGATGGGGTTTTGCCATGTTGTCCAGGCTGGTCTTGAACTCCTGACCTCAGGTAATCCACCTGCCTCGGCCTTCCAAAGTGCTGGGATTACAGGCATGAGCCACTGTGCCCGGCCTGATTTCTGCATTTTTAACAAGTTCCTAAGTGATTTTGCTTGCCCATGAACCACGTTTTGAGTTTAGCAAGGCAAGCTTTTTTTTTTTTTTTGAGTTGGAGTCTTGCTCTGTTGCCAGGCTGGAGTGCAGTGGCTCACTGCAACCTCCGTCTCCTGTGTTCAAGTGGTTCTTCTGCCTCAGCCTCCCTAGTAGCTGGGACCACAGGCGCATGCCACCATGCCTGGCTAATATTTGTATTTTTAGTAGAGACGGGGTTCCACCATGGCCAGGATGGTCTCGATCTCTTGACCTTGTGATCTGCCCTCCTCAGCTTCCCAGAGTGCCTGGATTACAGGCATGAGCCACCATGCCTGGCTGGCAAGCTTTTTTATATACATGCTAGGACAAGTTCCTCTTTGAGAAAATTGGAAATTGAAGGAGAATATATACCAGCTTTTTTATTCATAAAACATGATGATAGGCCGGGCGCGATGGCTCACGCCTGTAATCCCAGCACTTTGTGAGGCCGAGGCAGGTGGATCACGAGGTCAAGAGATCGAGACCATCCTGGTCAACATGGTGAAACCCCGTCTCTACTAAAAATACAAAAAATCAGCTGGGCATAGTAGTGGGTGCCTGTAATCCCAGCTACTCAGGAGGCTGAGGCAGGAGAATTGCCTGAACCCAGGAGGCGGAGGTTGCGGTGAGCCGAGATCGCTCCATTGCACTCCAGCCTGGGTAACAAGAGCGAAACTCCATCTAAAAAAAAAAAAAAAAAAGCGTGATGATAGAGCAGAAACAAGTAATTTGTTGCCTTCAGTAACCAGACTGGGAAAGGAAATGTCCCATACCAGCAGGATCATGGGTTTTAAAATTGAGGAGGCTGATTCTAAGAGCAAAATAAAGACAGAGAGAAGTAAGTGTATGTGGGAGGACAAGGGGGTGGTGACCATATGGAGAAAGAGAATATGAATCAGTGATATAAAGGAAAAAGTTCCATAAAAAGAATTATTACAAATATAAGGTGCATCATTTAGCAAGTAAAGACAATTGGATGGAAAGAAAAATAAGGCTTGGGGAAGGGAAAATTTGCCAGAACAGGGCCTCACAACCCAAAATTACTCCACCAAGTGAAAGATGTACCTTAAGCAAAAGGGATAGATGTCTGGGCTCTATGGAAAGACTTTTCAGCAGAGTGTTAACTTTTTTTTTTTTGAGATGGAGTTTCACTCTTGTCGCCCAGGCTGGAGTGTAATGGCACCATCTTGGCTCACTGCAGCCTCTGCCTCCTGGGTTCAAGTAATTCTCCTACCTCAGCCTCCTGAGTAGCTGGGATTACAGGCATGCACCACCATGCCCGGCTAATTTTTGTATTATTAATAGAGACAGGGTTTCACCATGTTGGCCAGGCTGGTCTTGAACCCCTGACCTCAGGTGATGAGCCTGCCTCGGCCTCCCAAAGTGCTGGGATTACAGGCATGAGCCACCACGCCCAGCCTAAAATCTTTTTTGTTGTTGTTGTTGTTGTTTTGAGACAGAGTCTTGCTTTGTCAGCCAGACTGGAGTACAGTGGCACAATCTCACCTCACTGCAACCCCCGCCTCCTGAATTCAAGTGATTCCCCTGCCTCAGCCTCCCACGTAGCTGGGACTACAGGCACAGGCGACCATGCCCGGCTAACTTTTTATATTTTAGTAGAGGTGGGGTTTCACCATGTTGGCCAGGATGGTCTCGATCTGCTGACCTTGTGATCTGCCTGCCTCAGCCTCCCAAAGTGCTGGGATTACAGGTGTGAGCCACCACACCCGGCATAATCTTTTTATAATAAGGTCTTTTTGTAATAAGGTCACGTCTGTCATCCCAGCACTTTGGGAGGCCGAGGCAGGCGGATCATGACGTCCAGAGATGGAGACCATCCTGGCCAACATGGTGAAACCCCATCTCTGCTAAAAAAAAATATAAAGAAATTAGCCAGTCATGGTGGTGCGCACCTGTAGTCCTAGGTCAAGCTTAGGTTCGTATTGCATGTGGCTCTCAAGCTGATATGAAAGTATTTTTTTTTTTTTTTTTTCAAAAAAGATGAAATGTAATTTTTTTTTTTTTTTTTTTGAGACGGAGTTTCACTCTTGTTACCCAGGCTGGAGTGCAATGGCGCGATCTCAGCTCACCGCAACCTCTGCCTCCTGGGTTCAGGCAATTCTCTTGCCTCAGCCTCCTGAGTAGCTGGGATTACAGGCACGCGCCACCATGCCCAGCTTATTTTTTGTATTTTTTAGTAGAGACGGGGTTTCACCGTGTTGACCAAGATGGTCTCGATCTCTTGACCTCGTGATCCACCCGCCTCAGCCTCCCAAAGTGCTGGGATTACAGGCTTGAGCCACCGCGCCCGGCAATGTAATTTTTTTTTTTAAACCCGATTTATTTTTTTTTTGAGATGGAGTCTCACTCTCACCCAGGCTGGAGTGCAGTGGCATGCCATCTCTACTCACCTCAATCTCTGCCTCCCAGGTTAAAGCGATTTTGCTGCCTCGGTCTCCCGACTAGCTGGGATTACAGGCCTGCGCTACCACACCTGGCTAATTTTCGTATTTTTAGTGGAGATGGAGTTTCACCTTGTTGGCCAGACTGGTCTGAACTCCTGACCTCAAGATCCTCCTGATCCGCCCACTTCAGCCTCCCAAAGTCCTGGGGTTACAAGTGTGAGCCACCATGCCCAGCAGATTATAATATTTTAATGTGATGTAAATCTAATACTCTACATGCTTTCCTTCAAGAAATTGCCTGTGCTTTTTAGTCTAATGACTATGAGTATATAAATCTTTAATTATTATGGCTTATAGGTGTATTGTAACAAAAAAAGTGTCTTTAACTATATCTCTGCAGTGACAGATAGCAAAATTAGCACCTTTTTACATTCAGGTACCACATTTATAGAAATTTAATACTTTGTCATTCAGCTCTGGAGTTTCAGGGGAGGTGTTAGTGTGTCTCCATCAACTCTCTCCTTGCTCTTTTCCCAGGCAACCTACTTAGAATCACAGATGCTTAATATAGTGGCCATCTCAGCCAACATTTTTCTAATAAGAAAGTGGCTTGTTGGTACATAGTTGGCAAATATGCAGTTCGAAAGGAACAAGCTGGGCTGGGCGCGGTGGCTCACGTCTGTCATCCCAGCACTTTGGGAGGCCGAGGCAGGCGGATCATGACGTCCAGAGATGGAGACCATCCTGGCCAACATGGTGAAACCCCGTCTCTGCTAAAAAAATATAAAGAAATTAGCCAGTCATGGTGGTGCGCACCTGTGGTCCTAGCTACTTGGGAGGCTGAGGTGGAAGAATCACTTATATCCGGAGGCAAAAGTTGCAGTGAGCGGAAGTTGCAGTGAGCCTAGATTGTGCCATTGCACTCCAGCCTGGTGAGAGAATGAGACTTTATTTCAAAAAAAAAAAGAAGAAAGGAATAAACTGTTTTAGGCTAGGCATGGTGGCTCATGCCTATAATCCCAGCACCTGGGGAGGCTAAGGCAGTTGACTCACTTGAGCTCAAGTGTTGTGACCAGCCTAGGTAACATGGCAAAATCCCGCCTTTTTTAATTTTTAAATTTAATTTTAAAAAATACCTTAAAAGAAATAAACTTTTTTAAACCTAAAGTTTGTATTGAGCTCAGACCTAATGAGCAGGGTCAGGATTTGCACAGGAGGGAGCAGAGTTTAGAACAGGGTTATTGAAAAGTATTCAGTAGTAGTAGTAATAATATGTATATGTCATTGGTTGCATATAACTAAGAGAAGACAGAAAGGTTGACAACAGAGATTGCCCAACAAACGGTAGTTGCAGCTCTTTTCCTCTTCGACTTCTGTTTCTCTTACTAGCTCTGTGGCCTAGCAAGGGTTGAGGCAGTATTTTGCTATCTTAAATAAAGGTAGGACACAGTTATGTCTTGAATTTCTTTTGAATCCTTCATAATACACTGATGAATATAGACTAGGCATATAGTAAATGTTAAGTTGATTGAGAAGATAATTTAGAGTTTACATTTAAGAGAAGATAATTTTTAGCCAGGCATGGTGGGACACACCTGTAATTCCAGCATTTTAGGAGGCTGAGGTAGGCAGATCACTTGAGGTCAGGGGTTTGAGACCATCCTGGCCAACATGGTGAAACCCCGTCTCTACTAAAAATATGTAAAAATTAGCTGGGTGTGGTGGTGCGCATCTGTAGTCTCAGCTGCTCAGGATGCTGAGGCAGGAGAATCACTTGAACCTGGGAGGCGGAGGTTGAGGTAAGCTGAGATCGTGTCGCTGCGTTCCAGCCTGGCGACAGAGCGAGACATCGTCTCAAAAAAAATAATAATAAAAAACAATCGACCGGGCACAGTGGCTCAAGCCTGTAATCCCAGCACTTTGGGAGGCCAAGGCGGGTGGATCACGAGTTCAAGAGATCGAGACCATCCTGGTCAACGAGGTGAAACACCGTCTCTACTAAAAATACAAAAAATTAGCTGGGCATGGTGGCGTGTGCCTGTAATCCCAGCTACTCAGGAGGCTGAGGCAGGAGAATTGCCTGAACCCGCGAGGCGGAGGTTGCGGTGAGCCGAGATCGCGCCATTGCACTCCAGCCTGGGTAACGAGCGAAACTCCACCTCAAAAAAAAAAAAAAAAAAAAAAAACAATTACCTGGTATGGTGGCACGTGCCTGTGGTACCACCTACTTGGGAGGCTGAGGCAGGAGAATCCCTTAAACTCAGGAGGCAGAGCTTGCATTTAGCTGAGATCTCATTACTGCCCTCCAGCCTGGACAACAGAGCAGGACTCCTTCTCAAAAAAAAAAAGAGAGGCTACCTTTAGAAGTACTTCATTATCTGTAAGTTGATAATAGTAAGTTTGTAAGAAGCATTGGCTTTAGTTTGAAATTTATTATGTCAATATAATTTTCAAATTAGATAATGTAAACATCCCCCAATATTAATTTGTTTATATAACGAATATATCTTTCGACAATTTTACCTGCAGAAAAAAATGTTTTAAAAGTTAGCAGTTAGGAACAGATCATCTCTGGAGGATAGTACTTAAAGGGTTTTTAGTTTCTAGATTAAATTTTTTTTTTTTTTTAAATTGAGACAGAGTCTTGCACTGTCACCCAGGCTGGAATGCAGTGATGCGATCTTGGCTCACTGCAGCCTTCACCTCCTGGGCTCAAGCAATTCTCCTGTCTCAGCCTCCCAAGTATTTGGGACTACTACTAACAGGCACACACCACCATGCCTGGCTAATTTTTATAATTTTAATAAAGATGGAGTTTCACCATACTGGTTAGGCTGGTCTCGAAATCCTGACCTCAGGTGATCTACCCGCCTCGGCCTCCCAAAGTGCTGGGATTACAGGTGTGAGCCACTGCTTCCAGCCTAGATTAAATATTTCTTCTAGATTAAAGATTTCTTTTTGGGATGCAGTTTTTAAAAAGTACATTAGTTGCTATAACAAGATATCTTAGGCTGGGCACAGTGGCTCATGCCTATAGTCCCAGCACTTCGGGAGGCCAAGGCGGGTGGATCACCTGAGGTCGGGAGTTCAAGACCAGCCTGACCAACATGGAGAAACCCCATCTATATTAAAAATACAAAATTAGCCAGGCGAGGTGGCACATGCCTGTAATCCCAGCTACTCAGGAGGCTGACAGGAGAATTGCTTGAACCTGGGAGGTGGAGGTTGCGGTGAGCCGAGATTACACCACTGTACTGTAGCCTGGGCAACAAGAGCAAAACTCTGTCTCAAAAAAATAAATAGGCCGGGCACGGTGGCTCAAGCCTGTAATCCCAGCACTTTGGGAGGCTGAGGCGGGTGGATCACAAGGTCGAGAGATCGAGACCAACCTGGTCAACATGGTGAAACCCCATCTCTACTAAAAATACAAAAAATTAGCTGGGCATGGTGGCGCGTGCCTATAATCCCAGCTACTCAGGAGGCTGAGGCAGGAGAATTGCCTGAACCCAGGAGGCGGAGGTTACGGTGAGCCGAGATGGCGCCATTGCACTCCAGCCTGGGTAACAAGAGCGAAACTCCGTCTCAAAAAAATAATAATAAATAAATAAATAAATAAAAGATATCCTAGAAAAATAATAAAAAATATTTTGATAAAAATATATTGCTTTCTTAATCAGAAACTAAATTGGTGTTAGAGATTTTTTTAAATAGTTATGCTTGGCTAAGATTTGCTAAAGTTCTTGTGTGTTTATACAGGGAAAACTTGAAAGGAGTGACAACTGAAGATAGAGAAATAAGGAAAAAGAAGGAAGAATATCTAACATTTGGTCCTCTTACAGTTGTAATATTTGTGGTCATCTGCTGTGTTATGATGGTCTTACTTTATTTCTTCTACAAATGGTTGGGTAAGAAGTCATATTTTATGTTTGCTATTGTTAACATACATTATTTTCATTGATTAATACTAGATTTATCTTTTCCTTTTGGCCATTCTACCTGGAAAACTTACATGAATAATTTGGTTAATATTAATTTTTTCATTGTCTCACTGACTAATACTACATTTATCTTTTCCTTTAAGCCATTCTACCTGGAAAACTTATGTGTATAATTTTATTAATATACTTTTTTTAATTGTCAGAGTGTTAGGTCTCTGTTACTCTGAGATAAAAATACTCAGATTAGCCGGGCACGGTGGCTCACGCCTGTAATCCCAGCACTTTGGGAGGCCGAGGCCGGTGGATCACAAGGTCAAGAGATCGAGACCATCTTGGTCAGCAAGGTGAAACCCCGTCTCTACTAAAAATACAAAAATTAGCCGGGCATGGTGGTGCACGCCTGTAATCCCAGCTACTCGGGAGGCTGAGGCAGGAGAATTGCTTGAATCCAGGAGGCAGAGGTTGCGGTGAGCCAAGATTGTGCCATTGCACTCCAGCCTGGGTAACAACAGCGAAACTCTGTCTCAAAAAAAAAAAAAAAATACTCTGATTAAAAATACTGTCTGTTTTCAGATGAGAGCACTTCTTCATGGATGACTTGAAATAGTTGCCATGGTCCCTAAGTTGTTCTCTCTGTAGATGAAGAATGATATACCTCAGTATCTAAGCAGTGGACTAAGGAGTTCTTGGTGGCTGTGTTTAGTTACGTGAAATAGAATATTATTCAAATTATGATGTATTGCCTCTACTTACTCCCAAAGTATAGCTGTTTGCAAATAAAGGTGTTTTATTGCTTGAATTTTATTTTACTTACATAGGCAGTTAGGATCATATTATATCTTAAGACACACAGGTACTTCCCTGTGATCTAGAGAGTAGTAGTTAGTCCTTTATTTCCTTGAAGAAAGTGAGAGTCGGAACTGTAATGGCTTGTTCATCCCTTGAACAGTCTGATTAATGGTCTAACAGAATGAAAATTTGCCATCCCCGGACAGTATACAACACAAAGAGAAGGGAAACCAGAGAAAAAGGAGTGTACCTGATAAGAACTAGCAAAAGCCCACTTAAGAACCACTAAAGCAGGCATCCCCAAACTTTTTACACAGGAGGCCAGTTCACTGTCCCTCAGACCGTTGGAGGGCCGCCACATACTGTGCTCCTCTCACTGACCACCAATGAAAGAGGTGCCCCTTCCTGAACTGCAGCGGGGGGCGGGATAAATGGCCTCAAGGGGCTGGATAAATGGCCTCAGGGGGCCGCATGCGGCCAGTGGGCCGTAGTTTGGGGACGCCTGCACTAAAGGCTACCATGCTTATGTGTATAGTATTAGCGTAAATTTCTGGTTTAGAAAACTAGACCCTAGGGTTTGTTTCATTCAGTTTTTGTTGTTTCTCTTGTCCTGTGACAGCATTTTAAAAACTAGACCTATGACATCTTTTTTTTGGTTGGTTTGTTTTTTGAGACAGAGTCTTGCTCTGCTCTGTCACCCAGGCAGAAATGCAGTGGTACAATCTGGGCTCACTGCAACCTGTGCCTCCCACATTCAAGCCATTCTTCTGCCTCAGCCTCCTGAGTACCTGGGACTACAGACGGATGCCACTATGCCCAGCTAATATTTGTATTTATATTTTATTTATTTATTTATTTATTGAGCTGGAGTCCTGCTCTTGTCACCCATGCTGGAGTGCAATGGTGCAATCCCAGCTCACCGCAACCTTTGCCTCCAGGGTTCAAATGATTCTCTTGCTTCAGCCTCCCAAGAAGCTGGGATTACAAGCATCTGCCACTATGCCCAGCTAATTTTTGTATTTTTAGTAGAGATGGGGTTTCACCATGTTGACCAGACTGGTCTCAAAGTCCTGACCTCAGGTGATCAGCCTGCCTCGGCCTCCCAAAGTGCTGGGATTGCAGGCAAGAGCCACTGTACCTGGCCTATGGTGTGTATTTTTTAATTTGAAAGAACTCATTTTGGCTTGATGCAGTGGCTCTCACCTGTAATCCCAGCACTTTGGGAGGCCAAGGTTCGTGGATCGCTTGAGGGCAGGGGTTCAAGACTAGCCTTGCCAACATGATAAAACCCTGTGTCTAGTAAAAATATAAAAATTAGCTGGATGTGGTGGCATGTGCCTGTAATCCCAGCTACTCAGGAGGCTGAGGCAGGAGAATTGCTTGAGCTGGGAAGGCGGAGGTTATGGCTAGCCAAGATTGCGCCATTGCACTCCAGCCTAGGTGACAGAGTGAGACTCCATCTCAAAAATAAATTTAGAAAAAACCTCATTTTGTGAATATCACTCATTTCAATCTGTTGCTGATAGAGCAAGTACTAGGATGATATTTGTATTATGTTGGCATCAAACAGATGATTTTATTAATACTCCTTCAGATTAATTAGTGTTACCAACTCTCAGTTGATAGTAGTCATTGATAGAGAAAAGAGAGCCCTCTACCCAAAAGCATATTTTAATTTTTGATGAGAAATTTTCTTAAATTAATCATTATTTAAAAAGAAGACGGTTGGCTCACACCTGTAATCCCAGCACTTCGGGAGGCCAAGGCAGGTAGATCACTGAGGTCCAGGGTTTCAGACCGGCGGGGATAACGTGACAAAACTCCATCTCTACTAAAACTACAAAAGTTGGCCACATGTGGTGGCGCATGCATGTAGTCCCAGCTACTCAAGAGGCTGAGGCAGGAGAATCGCTTGAACTCAGGAGGCGAAGGTTGCAGTGAGCCGAGATCACGCCACTGCACTGCGGCCTGGGCGACTGGACAACTGGGCAAGACTCTTTCTCAAAAAAAAAAAAAAAAACCTCAAGATCTAAATTTCAGCTTAGTAAGTAATTCAGGTCATAGTATAGTCACTTCATTGGAAGTATGATTCAATAAAGAAAGCTAAAGAAGTAATATTGCTTATATAAATATTTTCTTATCACCTTTCTTTCTGTTCTCATGTAATTTAGTGTTTTTTTTGTTTTTCTAGTTTATGTTATGATAGCAATTTTCTGCATAGCATCAGCAATGAGTCTGTACAACTGTCTGGCTGCACTAATTCATAAGATACCATATGGCCAATGCACGTACGTATCTCTTACAGAAAATCTTATGATGTTGGTATTTATAATTTAAAACATTACAAGAAAAAGAAGTAGTATTTGAAAAGTATGCAGTCTGATACACACTAGACCTATAGGTGTTCAAATTTAAATTTAAGTAAAATTAAATAAAATTAAAAATTGAGTTTTTCATTCTCATTAGCCACATTTCAGGTGCTCAATAGCCACATGTGGCAGTAGCTACCATATTGTACAGCACAGATACAGGACATTTTCATCATCATGGAAAATTATATTGGACTGATAAACATTTTATTATATCATTTGTTTTACTTAAAATCAAGAGTTCTAAATTGGTATTTCAGTCACTTCTTATGACTGTGGTTAACATTTGCCACTTCTTTTATTTATTTATTTTTTAAAGATGGGGTTTCACCATGTTGGTCAGGCTGGTCTTGAACTCCCAACCTAAGGTGATCCACCCGCCTTGGCCTCCAAAGTGCTTGGATAATAGGCGTGAGCCACCGTGCCCAGCCAACATTTGCCACTTCTTATATTAGGTGAACATTGTACTTCATCTGGAGTGTTAACTATTTCAGTTTGCTTTTTTAGGATTCTGTGTCGTGGTAAAAGTGTGGAAGTGAGACTTATTTTTCTTGCTGGACTATGCATAGCAGTAGCTGTTGTTTGGGCTGTGTTTCGAAATGAAGACAGGTATGAATTCTCAATATATTTGCTTTTAGATTAAGGATGAATTGTTTCATATCTTGCCCTGATACTTATTCATTATGATTATTATGGAATTTTTTTTTACTTCTGTTCCAGAACACCAGTCTTGTAATGAACTACTTTTAAAGTAAGCAAATCTTATGCTAATGCATTTGAATGCATATAGAGAAGGAAATATGAATTATGATTTCAACACATACACTGAAATAGACTTTAATAATATACTTAATTTTGGTGTAGCCACACAGTAGAGTGCAATGCAGCTCTTAACAGTGAAGATCTCTAGAACTGATTTGCAGCCAGTTCCAGAAGACAGAGAGACACAGAGAGAGAGAAAGTCAGTGTAGAAACAATCCAAATGTCCATCAAACTTTGAATGGATGAATACATTATGTTATAGTTACACCATGGAATACTATTCACCAGTAAGTAAGACATATACCATATGCACAAGCATGAATGAATCTGAGACGTAATGCTAAGTCAAAGTCATTAGAAACAAAAGAGAATATACTCTATGATATATAAAGTGCAAAAAGGAGCACAATCTATATTTTTATCTTTGATTATGATGGGAACATAACTGTATATATTTATGGGATATATGTGATGTTTTGATACAGGCATACAATGTGTAATGATCAGATCAGGGTAATTGTGGTATCTATCACCTCAAGCCTTTATCATTTCTTTGTGTTGGGAACATTCCAATTTCACTCTTTTAGTTATTTTACAATATACAATAAGTTAACTGTATCACCTTAGTGTACTACCAAACACTAGATCTTATTTATTTTATTTAACTCTATTTTTGTACCTATTAACCATCTTTACTATCCCCACCCTCTACCTGTTTTTAGCCTCTGGTAGCTATCATTCTACTATCTCCATAAGTTCCATTTTTTATTTTTATTTTCTTAATTTTAGCTCCCACTATGAGTGAGAACATGCAGTAGTTGTCTTTCTGTACTAGGCTTATTGCACTTAACATGATATCTTCCAGTTCCAGCCATGTTTTTGCAAATGACAAGACTTTTTTGTGGCTGAATAATATTCCATTGTGTTTGTGTATAATTTTATATGTATGTATAATTTCCTTTATCCATTTATTCACTGATGAACACTTAGGTTGATTCCATATCTTCACTATTGTGAATAGTGCTACAATAAACATGAGAGTCCAGATATCTTTTTGATATACTGATTTCATTTATTTTGGATGTATATCCAGTGGTGGGATTGCTAGATAATGTGGTAGTTCTGATTTCCGTATTTTGAGGAATTTCTATACTGTTCTTCATAGTGGCTTTACTAATTCCCACCAACAGTGTACAAGGTTTCCCACATCCTTGCCAGCATTCTGGAATAAGATACCTCATTGTAGTTTTGATTTACATTTCTCTGACTGCAACCAGATTTCATCTGATTGGAAATCTTGAGCATTTTTTCATGTATCTGTTGGTCATTTGTATATCTTTGGAGAAATACCTATTCAGATATTTTGCCCAGTTTTTTTTTTTTTTTTTTTTTTTTTTTTTTTTTTTTTTTTTTTTTTTTTTTTTTTGAGACAGAGTTTCGCTCTTGTTACCCAGGCTGGAGTGCAATGGCACGATCTCGGCTCACCGCAACCTCCGCCTCCTGGGTTCAGGCAATTCTCCTGCCTCAGCCTCCTGAGTAGCTCGGATTACAGGCATGTGCCACCATGCCCAGCTACTTTTTTTTTTTTTTGTATTTTTAGTAGAGACGGGGTTTCACCATATTGACCAGGATGGTCTCGATCTCTTGACCTCGTGATCCACCTGCCTCGGCCTCCCAAAGTGCTGGGATTAGAGGCTTGAGCCACCACGCCCGGCCATTTTGCCCAATTTTTAATCAGGTTATTTGTTTTTTTTCCATTGAGTTATATGAGCTCCTTATATATTAATCCCTTGTCAGATGGGTAGTTTGCAGATTCTTTTTTCATTTTGTGGGTTGTCTCTTCCTTTGCTATGCAAAAGCTTTTTAGCTTGATTTAATTCCATTTGTCCATTTTTGCTTTGGTTGTCTGTGCTTTTGAAGTCTTACTCAAGAAATCTTAGCCAGCCGGGCACGGTGGCTCACGCCTGTAATCCCAACACTTTGGGAGGCCAAGGCGGGTGGATCACAAGGTCAAGAGATCGAGACCATCCTGGCCAACATGGTGAAACCCCGTCTCTACTAAAAATACAAAAAATTAGCTGGGCATGGTGGCACGTGCCTGTAATCCCAGCTACTCAGGAGGCTGAGGCAGGAGAATTGCCTGAACCCAGGAGGTGGAGGTTGCGGTGAGCCGAGACCGTGCCATTGCACTCTAGCCTGGATAACAAGAGCGAAACTCCGTCTCAAAAAAAAAAAGAAAAAAAAAAAAAAAAAAAGAAATCTTAGCCAAGACCAATGTCCTGGAACATTTCCCCAATGTTTTCGTCTAGTAGTTTCATAGTTTCAGGTCTTAGATTTAAGTCTTTAATCCCCTTTGATTTGATATTTGTATTTTTTTAAGTGAAAAAAGCAAAGTGCAAAAATATATAGAGAGTATGCTGTCTTTTATGAAAGAAAGAAGGGACTATAAGAAAATATACAGATATCTGTTCATTTGCAGGAAGACAACCAGAAAAAAATATATACTTAGGTTTATGTAATGATTTATTAATAAAACTATTTAAGACTGAAAGGATTTAATGGCTGAAAATTTTAGAAACAAAGCTCATACAACTTTATGTAACTTCAGGTTGAATAATCAATGGATAATGCTCATGTCAGTTTCTGATGGAATAAGTCGTTGCATAGCTCTTGTTTTCTTTTTTTTTGAGACAGTCTCTCTCTGTCACCTATGCTGGTACAGTAGCTCAATCTTGGCTCATTGCAACCTCCTCCCAGTTTCAAGCCATTCTCCTGCCTCAGCCTCATGAGTAGCTGGGATTACAGGTGCCTACCACCATGCTGGGCTAATTTTTGTATTTCTAGTTGAGACGGGTTTCACCATGTTGGTCAGGCTGGTCTTGAACTCCTGACCTCATGATCCACCCACCTTGGCCTTCCAAAGTGCTGGGATTATAGACATGAGCTACCACACCTGGACACTAGCTCTTGTATTCTTTATATTCAAGGTATTTGGATCTGTGTTAACACTGATAATCTTTTGTTAACAGCTGTTTTCTAGAATGAGACATCTGTATAAGTTAAAAGTTTAGGCTGGGCATGGTGGCTCACGCCTGTAATCCAAGCACTTTGGAAGCCAAGGTGGGCGGATCACCTGAGGTCAGGAGTTCAAGATCAGCCTGACCAACATGGTGAAACCTCGTCTTTAAAAATAAATAAATAAATAAATAATAAGTTAAAGGGTTAAAGATAAATTCTTATGTCTGATATATGTTCTTCTGAGGTAGCCTTTTCAACTGTTTCTCAGTATGATAATATTCATGACCAGGCGTGGTGGCTCACGCCTGTAATCCCAGCGCTTTGGGAGGATGAGGTGGGTGGATCATGAGGTCAAAAGATCGAGACCATCCTGGCCAACGTGGTGAAACCCCGTCTCTACTAAAAATACAAAAAAATTAGCTGGGTATGGTGGTGCGCACCTGTAGTCCCAGCTACTCGGAAGGCTGAGGCAGGAGAATTGCTTGAACCTGGGAGGCGGAGGTTGCAGTAAGCCGAGGTCATGCCACTGCACTCCAGCCTGGTGCCTGGTGAGGGAGTGAGACTCTGTCTCAAAATAATAATAATAATAAAAACATTATTATTATTCCACTCGGACAGTAAAATTACCAAATAAGGAATATATGAGGGGTTTGTTGTTATGCTTGCTATTTAATAATTGAATAGTCAAAAATCAGCCAGGTATGATGGCACATACCTGTAGTCTCAGCTACTCCAGAGGCTGAGGCACAAAAATTGCTCAAACCCAGAAGGCAGACATTGCAGTGAGCTGAGATCGCACCACTGTACTCCAGCCTGGGTGGCAGAGTAAGATGCTGTCTCAAAAAATATATATGGAGTAGTGAAATCATAGCAATTAAGCAATATTACCTCAGTGATCTATGTCTTTTGAAAAGCTTCATCTAAAAATTGGTAAAGCAATAGAGTAATATCTTTTGATTTTTAGGTGGGCTTGGATTTTACAGGATATCTTGGGGATTGCTTTCTGTCTGAATTTAATTAAAACACTGAAGTTGCCCAACTTCAAGGTAATGTATACGATACTACTTTGCTAGTTAAAATAAATTTTTAAAAGACAACTTTATTAACCATAATTTACATACAATTAAATGCACCAATTTTTGGTGTACCATTTATGGAAATTTTACAAACGTGTACCTTTATAACCACTATGCTAGTGAAGTTGTAGAACATTTCTCATCTCTTCCAAAAGCTCTACCATGGCCTTTGAAATCAGTCCTAACTCGCAGGCCCAGACAACCACTGATTTGCTGGCTAAATGATTACTGGTTTTTTTCCTTTCTTTTACTTGTATAAATGTAAGGGGTTCAAGAGTAGTTTTGTTACATGGATATATTGGGTAGTGGTGAAATGTGGGATTATAGTATAGCCATCACTCGACAAATGTGTGTTGTCCCCATTGAATAATTTCTCATTCCTTACGCTTTCTAACCCTACAACCATGCCGAGTATCCAGTGACTATTATTCCCCACTCTTGTCCATGTGTACACACTATTTTAGCTAAATGTTTTTGTTTGTTTTTATAGAGATGGAGGTCTTGCTATGCTGCTGTTCTCAAACTGCTAGCCGCAAGTGTCCTCCTGACTTGGCCTCCCAAAGTGCTGGGATTGCAGGCATGAGCCACTGCACCCTGCCTAAAATATGTTTAATCACTCATACACTATGCCACATTCATAAAATCCTTAACACGACTTAATATCAGGGAAGCACATTTCTTTTTTTTTTTTTTCTGAGACAGAGTCTCATTCCGTCACCAGGCAGCAAGCCGGAGTGCAGTGGTGCAACCTTGGCTCACTGGCAACCTCCACTCCCCGGGTTCAAGCGATTCTCCTGCCTCAGCCTTCCAAGCAGCTGGGACTACAGGCGCATGCCACCACGCCCAGCTAATTTTTTTGTATTTTTAGTAGAGACAGGGTTTCACCACGTTGGCCAGGGTGGTCTCAATCTCTTGACCTTGTGATCTGCCCGCCTCAGCCTCCCAAAGTGCTGGGATTATACGTGTGAGCCACTGCACCTAGCCTAGCACATTTCTTTGGTTCGGTGATTTTTTAAAAAACAAGTTAAAGACCCGAAAACCTAAAATGCAATTTAAAAAGATAAAAACGGTCGGGCGCGGTGGCTCACACCTGTAATCCCAGCACTTTGGGAGGCCGAGGCGGGTGGATCACAAGGTCGAGAGACCGAGACCATCCTGGTCAACATGGTGAAACCCCGTCTCTACTAAAAATACAAAAACATTAGCTGGGCATGGTGGAGCGTGCCTGTAATCCCAGCTACTCAGGAGGCTGAGGCAGGAGAATTGCCTGAACCCAGGAGGCAGAGGTTGCCGTGAGCCGAGATGGCGCCATTGCACTCCAGCCTGGGTAACAAGAGTGAAACTCCGCCTCAAAAAAAAAAAAAAAAAAAAGATAAAAACAAGAGAAAGAAGATAAGGGTTTTAATACATAGAATAAGACTACACATAATATTAACCATAAGATGTCTTTTTAAAAATAATATTCAAGGCCTGGCACGGTGGCTCAAGCCTGTAATACCAGCACTTTGGGAGACCGAGGCGGGCGCATCACGAGGTCAAGAGATTGAGACCATCCTGGCCAACATGGTGAAACCCCGTCTCTACTAAAAAAACACACACAAAAATTAGCTGGGCATGGTGGCGTGCACCTGTAGGCCCAGCTACTCGGGAGGCTGAGGCAGGAGAACTGCTTGAACCTGGGAGGCAGAGATTGCAGTGAGCCAAGACCAGCTTGGCACCTGGCAACAGAGTGAGACTCTGTCTCAAAACAAACAAACAAACAAAATAAATAAATAAATAATAATATTCAAATGTACGTTCATATGTTTATTTGCACCTGAAAAATAATTTAATGTCTTAATTTACATATCGGAAGATTGACCTTTAATTTTGTTTCTTTCTTCAACAGTCATGTGTGATACTTCTAGGCCTTCTCCTTCTCTATGATGTATTTTTTGTTTTCATAACACCATTCATCACAAAGGTATGACCATATTTTTGAAATTCATGAAGAAAGATTTTAAAAAAGTAAGAATCTTAAGTCTGCTCCTAGATTATTAATTTTTCAGATGTTTACTCCTGAGTTCTAATTCTCTTAAGAGAATTGTCATTGAAATTAGCCTTTTAATTTTCAAGACTTTAATGATTTTGTTAGTTTTTTTAAATGTCTTTTGACTGGTACAAATATGAAAATGTCTGTAATTTTCTTCCCTTTTTAAAGTAATTTTTCTTATGAGCTAAATGTTTACTGTATGCAATATAGACAGTACATAAAAGTAAAATATCATTTCTGAAGCCTTAGTTTGTGACTAAGAAAGGGCAGCACACTAGGAATTGGAAGGCCTAGAATGTAGCTTTGCAACCCTGCAGCCATAGGCAAGTTTACTTAAGCCCTTTCTGCTTCCATTTACTAATCGATTGTATGAGGGAGTATTGCTAGCTTTTCATCCTCCCACCCACTTCAGCGGAATTCTTTTGGTTCCAACTAACAGAACCCAACCCAAGCATTCTGTACCCAAAAAGTCCCATTTATCTAGACTGTGTTTGTATGCCTGCATGGGCGGGCATCAAGAGAAACTAGACCCAGGGCCACATACTCTCCCTTTTTTGCTTCTGTCCAGTTGTTCATTCTCTCAGACTGGCTTTTTCCATGAAGTTAGAATCAGCAACTGGCAGCTCCTAATCATATATTCCCAGGTCTGCCTTTAGTTCTTCAGTAAAATGAGGAGAAGTGTTGGGTGAGTATGGTGGTCCTTAATTATTTGTCCAGTTTTTCTACCTTGATTGTTTTCCTGTCTCATGAATATAATATCATTAACTATTGCTTAATTCCCCACTTTCTCCCATTTTGAGTCTTTCTTTGTAACTTTATTTTATCCTTTGTCACTCTCACGTGTTTAAGTATTTGATATTCTCTACTCGTCATTCCTTCTTTTTTTTTAAGGGTAAGTCTTGAGGCTGAAGTACAATGGCACAATCTTGATTCACTGCAGCCTCAAACTCCTGGGCTCAAGCAGTCCTCCCACCTTGGCTTCCCAAAGTATTGGGATTACAGCCATAAGCCGTGACGCCTGGCCTCACGTCTTTACCCATTCATTAAACCTACCACCTATGAAATCACTATAAAAATCTACACTTCTGATATTTGCTATAATGGCATAAAGACACTGTACCCTCTTGGGGAGCTAAAATTGTAATAGGTAACGAATATAATCAACTGCCCCAAAATACAGCTAACCAACCAAACCTTTTTTTCCTTCTTTGAATCAGGGTCTTGATCTGCCACCCAAGCTGGAGTGCAGTGGCTCAATTATGACTTACTGTAGGTTTAACTTCCTCAGGCCCAGGTGATCCTCCCACCTCAGCCTCCCAAATAGCTGATACTACAGGGGCATACCACCACACCCAGCCAATTTTTGTATTTTTTGTTGAGATGGGGTTTACCATATTGCCCAGACTGATCTCAAACTCTTGAGTTCAAGAGATCCTTCTGCCTCAGCCTCCCAAAGTGCTAGAATTTACAAGTGTGAACCACCATGCCTGTCATAACCAAACCATTTTACTAGCACCTTTCTGTCACTTAATGATGAGCCATTTGATTCATTGACTTCACTGAACAATAGTAACCTAAAAAAATAATTCATAGAACTAGTATTATGGGTTATAACTAAACTTGTTAATTTGGCCAGGTGCGGTGGCTCACACCTGTAATCCCAGCACTTTGGGAGTGCAGGCCGGCAGATACTTGAGGTCAGGGATTTGAGACCAACCTGGCCAATATGGTGAAACTCTGTCTGTACTAAAAATACAATAATTTAGAGACCGGGCACGGTGGCTCATGCCTGTAATCCCAGCACTTTGGGAGGTCAGGGCGGATGGGTCCCTTGAGGTCAAGAGTTTGAGACCAGCCTAGCCAAGATGGTGAAACCCCGTCTCCACTAAAAAGACAAATATTAGCCGTGTGCAGTCGCAGGCACCTGTAATCCCAGCTACTTGGGGGGTGCTGAGGCAGGAGAATCACTTGAACTCAGGAGGCAGAGGTTGCAGTGAGCCAAGATTGTGTCGCTGTACTTCAGCCTGAGTGACAGAGCAAGACTCCATCTCAAAAAATAAAACAAAATAAAATAAAAATAATAATTAGCCAAGTGTGGTGATACATACCTGTAGACTTAGCTACTTGGGAGACTGAGATAGGAGGATCACTCGAACCCTGGAGGTGGATGGAGGTTACAGTGAGCCGAGATTGGACCACTACACTCCAGGCCAGGCAACAGATTGAGACTCCGTCTCAAAAAATAAAATAAAATTGTTAATTTGTTAGGCCATTTTTAACTTGGTTCAAAAATGTGTTATTGTAGGATATCCCATCAAAGATCTTATAACAAAAGTGAGATGTTCCATCTACAAAGCCATTTCTGTAAATGAACAGATAGCCCATAACATATGACACGTATATTACACAGTAGATATAGATGTAAGCTGTAACTAAATTATTTTTTTAAATAACTTTTCCATTCTGACACTACTCTCACTTTGCAGGTAAACATATCTGCCAGCAAACCATTTGCATTCCCTTATACATAGAATGTTTCAGAATTCTAAAGATAGGATAATAATAAAGGTGTCTTATAGCCTTCTTTCTTTTGTGCTTAAGAAATTTTTCATCTTAGGAAATTATTTCTATCTTAGTTCCTACTGACTAGGAACATGATTTCTAGCAACCTGAAATGGTGAAAAAAGCTAAGTGCTCTTTGGAGTTCACTGCAGTAGATTTACTTTAGTGTCTTCTCAGTTTGATTTGTTTGTTTTTATTAAGGCAGCAGACCTTACTTTATTAGGCAACTCAAAATCAGATATTGCTGATTTTCCTGGTTTTCACTGTAAATTCGATAAAATATTGCATATTGTAAACATGTTCTTGACCCATGTATTTGTTGCCTTCTAGTGAGTTGGCAAGGCAGGTCGCCATAAGAGTACAGCAATAAGAGACTGCCTTATTTTTTTCCATTCACCACTGTGCTCAGTATTTTGTCTTATAAATAGTAATTATTCAGGTATCTTTAAATGTATGGGAGAATGTCAATGATGGTCTTCAGTTAAATGTTTTAAGTAACAATTAGAAAGTGAACCAAAATTAACTCTTTACCTGGAAATGTTATCACAACCTAGGAATCTGCTTTAAAGAATTCTACTTAGTATGTTTGTTTTTCTAAACTCCTTTGCTTAATTAACCCTTCTGTAACCCAAAGCTTAACACGAGCAAAAGATTTCTGCAGCTAGGGGTTTTTGTCCTCCTTTCTACTCAGCTCAGCAATCAATGAGGTCGTTTTAAAAACCCTCAAGTGGTTTATTCTGTGTACCCCACCCACATGGAAAATATTATAGTCAATCAAATTTTGTTGAAATTCAGGATTTATCTTCCCTGTACCTGTTTTGCTGATATGTTTATCATAAGATGAAACATAAAATGAGTGGCTTCTGCAATCTTAGCTTGCTGCCTTATCGTGTTTTCCCTCTCCACAACAGACTTGGCTATCAGGAAAATTTTTTTAAATGAACCCCTCACACAGCCCACATGAAAAGTCTTTATCCAGACACAAGGGAGAGAAATTTAGCTAAGGTTAATGTTTTGATTGGATCATAAGAAAGCAGGCAGGGCTGAAACTGGATAAAAGTTAGGCTAGAGAAGCTTCTCAGGTTCTATAGGGTTGGGTCTTTTCAAGTTTGATTTTATTGTTTTGTTATTGTGGTGAGTAGCCAGAAGGTCAGATGTATACTTATTCAAATAAAGTTACCAATATTTTTTACAAAGCTAAATATAAAAGATTTTAACATGACCTTCTTCACTGACATTGCTGAAAACCACTAAGAGCATATAGTGTATGACATAATGTAACTAAAATTACTAAACCTAAAATTTATATCCCATTACAAATATCAGATATTTAATCTGTCAGTACAAATCAGAACTGAAAGTTCACTTGAATTGTTTTTACATGATTCATTTGCCAGTTTCTGAGACTTGTTGAACTCTGATAAAGTGGAACAATGGTGCTCGGTGAACTTTATTTTAGATGACTTCAGTTTTGCTATCTACAGAAACTTTTAGGGAAAAGGCAGTCTGTAGCCCATTTTCAGTCAGTGTACAGAATAGTGGCAGTTCTCTTTAAATGATTGGACAACTTCCTTTCTCTTCCTTCTCAATTTTAGAATGGTGAGAGTATCATGGTTGAACTTGCAGCTGGACCTTTTGGAAATAATGAAAAGGTAGGGATGGCAATGAAATAGAAATGGCTCTCCAGTGTATGTATGTGTATCCAGTTAATAGTTTGCCTTCCTGTGTAATTCATTGGTCACGTAGTGCATGTTAAGGTATTGTAAAACTTATTTCTCAGAAAATATAGCTCTTTTCTTAGTTATTCTAAATTATTAAATACCTATTGACTTGGGTTTCATCCTAGAATGATGGAAACTTGGTGGAAGCCACTGGTCAACCCTCAGCTCCCCATGAGAAAGTAAGGATTGTATTTCAGATATGTTCATTGGACTTTAAATCATACCCTCTGAGACAAGACTCTTCTTTGGGGGAAAAAAATCCAGGTTGCCCAAAAAAAAATCTGTTTCAAGACCTGAGTTCTATTCTTGATAAAGAGAAAAAAAAAAAAAGGTTAAATGTGGGGATAGTGGATTAATGCTGTAATGCTGTTAATCCTACATGTGTGTTGGGTTTGATTTTTTTTGAAACTAATCTATTTCTTTTGGAAATAGAAACAGAGTATTTCAAGTTCCTTTAAACTGTCAAAAGAATTATTCTAATGTTAATCATTCCCTTTCTAGAAGATATGGGTGGCCAGGCATGGTGGCTCACGCCTGTAATCCCAGCACTTTGGGAGGCCAAAGCAGGTGAATTGACTGAGGTCAGGAGTTCAAGACCAGCCTGGCCAACATGGTGAAACCCTGTCTCTGCAAAAATTAGCTGGGCATGGTGGCTCATGCCTATAATCCCAGCTACTTGGGAGGCTGAGGCAGGAGAATTGCTTGAATCCGGGAGGTGGAGGTTGCATTTGCAGTGAGCTGAGATCTCACCACTGCACTCCACCTGGATGACAGAGTGAGACTCTGTCTCCAAAAAATAAATGAATAAAAGATATGGGTAAAGATTGCCAAGAGGTTCATTGGTGGCCTCTTTTTTGTTTTGTTTTGTTTTGTTTTTGAACAGTTGCCAGTAGTCATCAGAGTACCAAAGCTGACCTATTTCTCAGTAATGAGTGTGTGCCTCATGCCTGTTTCAATATTGGGTTTTGGAGACATTATTGTACCAGGTAAGCAATTGTAACAATTTTAGTAAAAAAAAATATACTGATGATTTTAAATCATCATATGTATGGAATCTGTTAAAAGTTACCTATTCTGATTTAACTATTTCTTGCTGTCACTAGAGCTGGGATTGTCATAACAAAAAAGCTTATTGACAGGTAGAAGATAAAGCCCAAATGGTAAGAACCAAAGTACTGTAATAGCTCGTATGGCTCAAAAAGTTAGTTAGAGGAAGCAACTAGGATCAGTTTAACCTTCTTCAAGAAGTATATTTGTGACCCTTTTTATAAGTTGAATATAATAATGCCAAATATATAGTTTATAGTACTTATATTTTAAGATAACAGTTATGTTTTAGAAAAAGTAGTTTAAGAGTATTAGGCAAGGCCACGATCAAGAGGAGAAACATGGAAGAACACCAGCTTGTAGGACTTCATGATACAAAAAGACACAGTTTATAGTGGAATTGATCACCTTCTCTTAGCATGTCTGCTCTGACAGTTAGTGTAGTTCTGCCTTATTTTCCTCATGGCACTGCCTGTAGAATAAACTTAATCCAAGCCCAGTAATAATTTAGTTTAGAAGTAATTAATAATATTCCTCTATCAGCTGAGTTTTTCCTTCTTCATTTTTCTTACAGTCTCCTATGTATTAACTGCCCGTGGTGGATGGGTGAGGAGTACTGGTACTTCTGAAAAAGCCCTCGTATTTACCTAGTAAAACCAGGTAGAGAGAGAGAAGCTAGCAGTGTTGCCTTGCAAGTTGACATGGCAAAGTCCAGTATAGCAGCTCTCTTAGCTCAGTGAATCTCCATTCAGATAATTGGTAAAATAAGGAAAACATTCTATTGAGTAACCTTACACTTCTTTGAATATCCTTAAACTTATACCTGATTTTACCATTTCCACACCAAGTGCTATAAAAGATCTTCTACGTAGAGCTTGGCATAAAACTGGTAAAAATAGTATTTAAATATTACATTATTGAAGTAAATGTCAAAGGTCTAAAACAAAAATATTTCCCCAAAGAGCAGAGGTGCTGACAATACGTGACTTAATCCTAAAAGCTAAATTTGAATTTAGGGAGGAAAAAAGTATAATTTTTAAAAAATATGGCTATGTGATTAAACAGCAGGAACAATAAAGAACTTCAAGATCAAGATAATGGTAGAAAAAGAAAAAAGAAGAAACAAGGAACTTAATTTATTAATTTTGTAGAGACCAAAACTAATTAATTCAAATAAGTAATAAATATAGTAAAATTATTTTATAATTTTTAAGTGGTTAACTGTCATTCTTTCTGTTTTTATAAAATGATAAATAAATACAAGGTGAGATTTCTTCTTTGGGAAGAAGAAATGGTTGAACAAATTTCTTAAAAGAAATAGGTATTAAATGAGTTTTTACTACATAGTTGCACGTTTACAAATGAAAGCGTGAGCCTAGCGTGGTAGCTCATGCCTGTAATCCCAGCCCTTTGGGAGGCTGAGGCAAGCAGATCAGTTGAGGTCAGGACTTCACGACCAGTCTGGCCAACATGGTGAAACCCCATCTCAAGTAAAAATACAAAAATTAGTCAGGCATGGTGGCACGCGCCTATATTCCCAGCTACTCGGGAGGCTGAGGCAGGAGAACCACCGAAACCCAGGAGACGGAGGTTGCAGTGAACCGAGATCACACCACTGCACTCCAGCCTGGGTGACAGAATGAGACTTCGTCTCAAAAAAAGAAAAAAAAGACTTAATAGTTTTCCAGTCTGTGTATATACCACATTTTCTTTATTCATTCATCTGTTGATGGACACGTAGTTTGCTTCCATATCTTAGCTATTGTGAATAATGCTGCAGTGAATATAGGAATGCAGATATCTCTTTGACATACTGATTTCAATTCCTTTGGATATATGCTCAGTAGTAGGATTACTAGATCATATGGTGGTTCTAATTTTAATTTGCTGAAGAACCACCATACTGGTTTCCATAATGGCTACACTAATTTACATTCCCATCAACAATGTGCAAGGATTCCCTTTTTGTTACATCCTTTCTAAGACTTACTTTTCATCTTTTTGATAATAACCATTCTAAAATATGTAAGGTAATATCTCATTGTGGTTTTAATTTGTATTTTTCTGATGATTAGTGATTTTGAGCAATTTTTTCATATACCTGTTGACTGTTTGTGTGTCTTCTATTGAGAACTGGCTATTCAAATTCTTTGCCCATTTTCTAATTGGGTTGTTTACTTATTATTGAGTTGTTTAAGTTTCTTATATTAATATATTTTAGATATTAACCTCTTATCAGATAGATAGTTTGCAAATATTTTCTCCCATTTCATAGGTGCTCACTTTGTTGACTGCTTCCTTGGGTGTGCAGAAGTTTTTTAGTTTACTGTAAACCTATTTTTCTGTTCAATACTTTTTAAATTATAAATTTTAAGTTTTCTTCATGACATGGAATATTGATCAGCTAATAAAAATGACAGTTAAAAATTATTTAATAGCTTGAGGAAATGTTTAAAATATGTTATTAGGCATTTTAAAAATCAGCATATAAAACTTTATCCAGAATTTGAGGTATTTGAATGTCCTTATAATGCAACAATGAAGATTCAATGCAGCATTTACTGTTAGCATAGTTAACAGTTGAATTTGCATTGCTATTGTTTTAAGAAAATAATGTGGAGTTGTTTTTTTTTTAAGGCCTATTGATTGCGTACTGTAGAAGATTTGATGTTCAGACTGGTTCTTCTTATATATACTATGTTTCCTCTACAGTTGGTAAATTTTTGTTTTTTCTTTGTATTAAATGTTGAATTGTATTATCTGGAGGAAAAGACAGGGGTCTAAAAATGAAGGAGTACAGTTTGGGCATGGTGGTTCACCCCTGTAGTTCTAGCACTTTGGGGGCCAAGGCGAGCAGATTGCTTGAGCCCAGGAGTTCGAGACCAGCCTGGGCAACATAGTAAGACCCCATCTCTATAAAAAATATTTTAAGCTGGGGCTCAATGACTCACGTCTGTAATCTCAGCACTTTAGGAGGCCAAGATAGGCAGATCACAAAGGCAAGAGATTGATACCATCCTGGCCAACACGGTGAAATCCCATCTCTACTAAAAATACAGAAAACAATTAGCTGGGCGTGGTACCATGTGCCTGTAGTCCCAGCTACTTGGGAGGATGAGGCAGGAGAATTGCTTGAACCCGGGAGGCAGAGGTTGTACTGAGCCAAGATTGCACCACTGCACTCCAGCCTGGGTGACAGATTGATTGAGACTCTGACTCAAAAGAAAAAAAAATTAAAAATAGCTGGGTATGGTGGTTGTGCCTATGGTCCCAGCTACTCAGGAGGCTGAGATGGAGAAATGCTTAAGCTCAGGAGGTCAAGGCTACAGTAAGCCATGATCGTACCATTTCACTATAGCCTGGGTGAAGACTATAGACTGAGTCCCTGTCTCAGAAAAAAAAGAAAGAGAGAGAGAAAAAAGAACAGAAAAAAGTGAGGGCAAAGATGAAGAAAAGAAAAAAGTATAAAGAAATTAAAAAGGCAGTCTCGGCCAGGCACAGTGGCTGCCCAGACGCGGTGGCTCATGCCTATAATCCCAGCACTTTGAGAGGCCGAGATGGGTGGATCACTTGAGGTAAGGAGTTTGAGACCAGCCTGGCCAACATGGTGAAATCTCATTTCTACTAAAAATACAAATAATAGCTGGGCATAGTGATGCACACCTGTAGTCCCAGCCACTCAGAAGGCTGAGGTAGGAAAATTGCTTGAACTCAGGTAGCGGAGGTTTCAGTGAGACAAGATTGCACCGTTGCCCTCCAGCCTGGGCAACTGAACGAGGCTCTGTCTTAAAAAAAGCAGTTTGAGGCCTCTCAGTTTGGTATTCTATAGGACTTTAACATATTAGTATCCAAAGGCAGACTATAAGAGAGTTCATTAATTTTCCTGTGTACCTTTGTACAATCACTTAAACTACCTGATACTTCATTGCCTCATCTTTAAAATTAGGAACTGTACTAAATTATTTATAAAGGCAATATTCTGAGGTCCTGTGTTCCTAATAAAACCCTGGGTCATTAAGAAAAGTTCAAAAGTATGTGCTTATTAACAAAGCTTAGAAAGTATGTAATCAGTGTTAGGAAGATTTTTTAAAGCAACCTTCAGTACCTATTGGTACAGATTCGGTTATCTAAAATATGAAACCATTTAACATCTTTAATAGCAACAGATAATTCTCATGAATTATTATCTTTATCAATGATTCATGGTTAGGTTAATAATAATTGAAGTGCTAACCAGTTTCCAAATTTGTCCAAAAGCTCCATAGAAGGTCTCTCCTAATCCTATCTAGGAAAATGATGAAATTACAACAAGTCATAGAGCAAAAATGTCCTCAGAAATATTTGAAAACCAATACTTAAATGAGGGAGGAAAAAACCCACCTTTGGTAACATGTAGAAATGACTGATAGCTTGATATTCTTCTTGCAGCCTATGCTATTGGCATGATACTTACATTTGTTGTTCTGGTGCTGATGAAGAAGGGACAACCTGCTCTCCTCTATTTAGTACCTTGCACACTTATTACTGCCTCAGTTGTTGCCTGGAGACGTAAGGAAATGAAAAAGTTCTGGAAAGGTAACAACTATCAGGTATGTGCTTATACTTTGGTTACCAGGTTATCTTATGACTTAATTTACTGACTGATTTTGGGTAGGAACAGACTATATATAGCAAAGCTTTTATGTACCAAAAAGTACTGTAATACCCCCTTAGTCACTCTCCACCTGCTGCATCATCATTTGTCACCTCCCCTGCAATCTAATGCCAAAAGCTGGTGATTTGAGACAAAACTAAAAAAAAAAACAGCAGAGGGCACCAGGGAAAATAAAATAGCTTTTGTGTTTTCAAAACCTACACAAGCTAGGCATGGTGGTTCATGCCTGTAATCCCAGCACTTTGGGAGGCCGAGGTGGCGAATCATGAGGTCAATAGATTGAAACCATCCTGGCCAACATGGTGCCCCATCTCTACTAAAAATATAAAAATTAGCTGGCGCTCACCTGTAGTTCCAGCTACTCAGGATGCCAAGGCAGGAGAATTGCTTGTACCCAGGACCTGGAGGTGACAGTGAGCTGAGATCGTGCCACTGCACTCCAGCCTGACACCTGGCAACAGAGCGAGACTCTGTTTCAAAATAAATAAATAAATAAAATAAGTACTTAATTTTGAGACTGTCATTAGCTATTTATAGTAAGAGTCCTAAAGTTTTACAGATAAAAGTTGTACTCTTCTGCCGGGTATGGTGGCTCATGCCTGTAATCCCAGAATTTTGGGAGGCCAGGGCGGGTGGATCACCTGAAATCAGGAGTTCGAGACTAGCCTGACCAAAATGGAGAAACCCCGTCTCTATTAAAAATACAAAATTAGCTAGGCATGGTGGCGCATGCCTGTAATCCCAGCTACTTGGGAGGCTAAGGGAAGAGAATCACTTGAACCCAGGAAAGTGTACTCTTCAGCTTCTAAAACAGTCTCTTTTGTTTGAGTGGTTTCATCATTGAAGTTAAACCTTTTTCTTTTTTTTTTTTTTTCTAAGTGTTCTTGGTATTCCAGTAAAGTCTGTTTGCATTGAAATTAAGAAGAGTTGGGAAACCCTAGCCTACTGAGGTCAGGGCCATGGCACTGACCCCTTCATGAAGGCACTTTGTGAGGCAGTTACCTTTGCTTTGCCCTGTTATAACTACTACCCTCCTCCATCCACTCTCATGCTTCTGTGTCAGTGGTCACGTGAACAAAAAGACACTTTGGGTGGGTGGCTGCAATTCTGATAGTAAATATACAGTTCAAAGTTCATGTTCATCTTGTGCTTGGTCTTTCCTGTCATTTATAATGTTATTTAATGAGAGGTGGTTAACACATTAAGTGACAGACTACTTTGATTTGAAAAAACACTGGTTTAGAATTGTTTTGGGGAAATCTTAAAATTTCTTTGAGATTTGGTTAAACTAGTAATACCTGTCTTGCCTACCTCACAAAGCTGTTGTCTCATCTTAAACCTTTTTTTTTTTTTTTTTTTTTTTTTTTTCCCATAAAAACAGGGTTTCACCATGTTGGTCAGGCTGGTCTTGAACTCCTGACCTCAGGTGATCCGCCCACCTTGGCCTCCAAAGTGCTTGAATTACAGGCATGAGCCACCACGCCCAGCTTCATTTTAATACTATTATATGTAGAATTAGTTTATGATCTTAAGGCCCTTGACTAAACTGGTAAGGTAACTTTTAACTTTTCCGTGACAATGACACTCACATAGGTTTTTTATCTTTATAGATTTTTTAAAATAAAAATGTATCCTATGATACATACTATGCTAATAACCTCTGAAAATCACATTTCTTTTTTTTTTTTTTTTTTTTTGAGACGGAGTTTCGCTCTTGTTACCCAGGCTGGAGTGCAATGGCGCGATCTCGGCTCACCGCAACCTCCGCCTCCTGGGTTCAGGCAATTCTCTTGCCTCAGCCTCCTGAGTAGCTGGGATTACAGGCACGTGCCACCATGCCCAGCTAATTTTTTGTATCTTTAGTAGAGACGGGGTTTCACCATTTTGACCAGGATGGTCTCGATCTCTTGACCTCGTGATCCACCTGCCTCAGCCTCCCAAAGTGCTGGGATTACAGGCTTGAGCCACCGCGCCCGGCGAAAATCACATTTCAAAAAGTACTTTTCATTATTTTTTAATGGGTTTATATTTCTTCATTTAGCAAATGTTTATGAGTGATTCTGTTAGAGGATATTATTTTCGGTATTGGTGATACAAGATGATCAAGTTAGAAAGAGGTCTATTTTCATGAACTCTTGAAAGTTACAGTCAAGTGGGGAACAGAGAGTCACTAACAATAAAGTGTGATCAACGTATTAGTTACAGCAGGTGCCATGAAAACTGTAGATGGGACATCGAGTGCTTGTGGTTTCAGGGCAGGGTCCTAGGTGATTTGGGGAAGATTTTCTAAAAGAATATTAAGTTTATGCCGGGCACGTGGCTCGCGCCTATAATCCCAACACTTTGGGAGGCCAAGGCGGGTGAATCACAAGGTCAGGAGTTCGAGACCAGTCTGGCCAAGATGGTGAAACCCCATCTCTACTAAAAATACAAAAATTAGCCGGGCGCGGTGGCTCAAGCCTGTAATCCCAGCACTTTGGAGGCTGAGGCGGGTGGATCATGAGGTCGAGAGATCGAGACCATCCTGGTCAACATGGTGAAACCCCGTCTCTACTAAAAATACAAAAAATTAGCTGGGCATGGTGGTGCGTGCCTGTAATCCCAGCTACTCAGGAGGCTGAGGCAGGAGAATTGCCTGAACCCAGGAGGCGGAGGTTGTGGTGAGCCGAGATCATGCCATTGCACTCCAGCCTGGGTAACAAGAGCAAAACTCCGTCTCAAAAAAAAAAAAAAAAAAAAAAATTAGCTGGGTGCAGTGGCACACACCCTGTAATCCCAGCTACTCGGGAGGCTGAGGCAGGAGAATTGCTTGAACCCGGGAGGCAGAGGTTGCAGTGAACCGAGTTCGCACCATTGCACTCCAGCCTGAGTGACAGAGTGAGACTCCATCTCAAGAAAAAGAAAAAAAAGGAATATTAAGTTTATGTCAAGACTTTAAGACTAGGCTATGTGTTCCATGTTGAAGGAACCATGTCTTCAGAAGCTCAGAGGGAAAAGAACATGGCACATTGTAGGAATGTGGTGAAGGTTAGGATGGCTATCATGCTGAGTAAAGGTTAGGGGAGCTACAGGAAATGAAAACTGGAGAAGAAAGCAAGAGTAAGGGCTGTGTAGCATCTTATAAGCCACATTAAAGAGTTTGGACTCTATACTAAGCATTGGAGACCACTTAAGCTTTTAAGAAATCTGGAAAATGAAGAGAGCAAAACTGCAGACAATTATTGCAGTAAGAAGTGATAGAAGGCCAGGCATGGTTGTTTGCACTGAGAATTGCAGCACTTTGGTAAGGCAAGCCAGGAATATCACTTGACCCCAGGAGTTTGAGACCAAACTGGGCAACATGGGAGACCCCATCTCTACAAAAAAGAAAAAATTTGCTGGATGTGGTGGCACATGCCTTTGGTCCTAGCTACTCAGGAGCCTGAGATGGGAAGATTGCCTGAGCCCAGGAGATAGGGGCTTCAGTCGGCCATGATATGACCACTGCACTCAGCCTGGGCAACAAAGTGAGGGAGACCCTGTCTCAAAAAAAAAAAAAGGAAAAGAAAAAAAAGAAGAAGTGATAGAAGCCTAAATTAGCAAAGGAGTGAGATGGAAAGATGTGGACAAACTTAAGATAAATTTAGAGGCATAATTAATAGGGTCTGATGATGGATTCAGTATGGGTAGAGGAAGAAGTAGAGTCCAGGGCTTCTGGATTGGGAAACTGAGTTGGGGGATGGTGATACTGTTCTTTGAGGTAAAGGAAAGGCAAAATGGTTAAGGAAGGTGATGATGAATTCAGTCTTGAACATTTCAAAAGTACCTATTGCATCACCACACAGAGAGAAATTATAGGTAGTTGAATAAATGGGTCTGATATACAGGAGATGGACCTGGCTAGAAATAAGTAGATACTCAGGAATGTCATTAGCATACCGATTAGAGTGAGAATGTAGAAGCAGAAGAAAAGACTCAGGACAGGCCTGTGAGCAAGAGATTTCTACTATTAGGGGTACTTAACCAGATTAAATGTAAATCATGACAAAGGGGACACGCAACATCAGGAAATTTTGTTACGAGTTGACATTAAATCTTTGTTTAGTTTAGAGTTGAAATTTAGTATTGTTAGTGAGAGCACATGTGCTGTCTTACAGAATTGTTTATGTTCTTGTTTCATTGTCAGCATTTATTTTTACTTATAAAAAATTTCTTTCCCTTTAATACAGCTTTTATTTATTTATTTATTTATTTATTTATTTATTTATTTAATGGACTGCTTCACGAATTTGCGTGTCATCCTTGCACAGGGGCCGTGCTAATCTTCTCTGTATCGTTCTAATTTTAGTATATGTGCTGCCAAAGTGAGCACTAATACAGTTTTTGTTTTGTTTTGTTTTGTTTTTTTAAGACAGGGTTTCACCATGTTGGTCAGGCTGGTCTTGAACTCCTGACCTCAGGTGATCCACCCGCCTTGGCCTCCAAAGTGCTTGGATTACAGGCGTGAGCCACCACACCTGGCCTAATACAGCTTTTAAAGTGTTTTTTTTTATTATTAAAAATACGTGCTTTAGGCTGGGTACAGTGGCTCATGCCTGTAATTCTAGCACTTTGGGAGGCCGAGGCAGGCGGATCACCTGAGGTCAGGAGTTTGAGACCAGCCTGTCCAACACGGCAAAACCCCATCTCTACTAAAAATACCAAAGTTAGTCGGGCATGGTGGCACATGCCTGTAATCTCAGCTACTTGGGAGGCTGAGGCGGAAGAAGCGCTTGAACCCAGGAGATGGAGGTTGTAGTGAGCTGAGATCGAGCCATTGCACTCCAGCCTGGGTGATAGAGCAAGACTCTGTCTCAAAAATAAATAAATAAATAAGCAAGCTTATAGGAAATTTGGAAAATATTTTTTAAAAATATAAAAAGAGAGTAAGTCCACCCGTAATCCTACCACCTAGAG